AACGGACCGGACGGACTGGGCTGAAACCCCTTGGCGCTCGCCTCTGCCGTCGCGAGGCATGGGACGATGCCATGACCCGTCAGGACTCGGCTTCGAACTCAGCACTCATCCGGACCCGCGACGAGGGCGACCGGACCCACACGACCCGGACCCGGGTGGAGGGCTAGGTCCTTTGGGATCCGGGACGGCAGCTTCTACTACCTGGCGCCGGACGGGAGGGTCGGTAGGTCGCTACGTAGGCTTAAGTAGTTATAGTAGTGAAGGGTTAAGTAGTAGCAAGGAAGGTAGTGTCCCACAAGGCTGAGCCTTAATGAAAACAAATAATGTAATGAAAATGAATTATAGAAATTTAACAATATTGTCAAACTTAATAACTTGTATAGTTTGTTGGCGACAGTCTAACACAAATCGATCATCCTCTCACCCGAAGTCGTGAGTAGTTGAATTCTGTCATGCCACTGGCAGTCATCCACTGGCAGTTGCTGCAGATTGCCTCCCTGAACTGCATGAACCAAGACTGATGTGAAAAGCGTTGGCCGGGGATGGCAAAACACACCTTAATGTACGTTGGGACTCAGCAAAATCCCATGTCGAAGCCTGACGCTTGTTCATCACAAAGAGGTTTTCCCTCAGCATGCTTGCTCGTGGTAGTGCAGGGTCTATACACCAGCAAGATTTGAACGCCCCAGCAAGATGATCTTGTGAGGGCAACTACAATGGTGACCGCAGGAGGTCTGTCCTGTGAATCCTGTCGGAGGGGATTGAAATCAGTTGTTGTTGATACTACCTTGAGGGTCAAGGGTTCTCAATTGCAGACATCAAAAAGAAGGGCATAGCTTCCAACAATTGTGTATTTTTTGATCACGCTTATCAGCCTATATGTCCCTGTGTGGAGAACAAAGTCTTAAGTAGTGGAAACCTAACAGGTAATCCTCAAATACATGTTCACCTCCACCAAAAGGCCTACAGCCTTCAGGCACACGACGCCGTCACCGGGTCCGGTCCCGGTCCGTCGTCCCGTCCGAGGCCACCAGTGGACTCTCTGAATCGCTCTCGGAGGCCGAGGGCGCCTGAGGCCCGAGGGGCCTGCTCTCTCGGGCGCCCGAGCGCTGTGCTCGGGGCGCCGGAGATCGCTCGTTGAACCGAACGCCGCGACCCGCCCTGCGGAAGATCGGCGCGCCGCCTCTCGGCGCTTCGGGTGGTTCGGGCCCCTCCAAGAGGGCGCCGGACCGTCCGGGGACGCGGCAAAGCTCGATGTTTCACCCCGAACAAACGACAGCCTCATGAATCTCGGGTCCTCGGCATCCATGTGATTGCTGTGATTGATATCACGTTCGATCATTCTTTTTCGATACTGTAACCTCTTTTTTACAGTAATTATATACATGTCTTTTCGATGAAGAAGAATGACGCAAGGGAGCTGTGTGCTTTGACCCTTATTTTCTATATCCGAACGGGCAAATGAGTCAGGTGTTTCGCCGAAAGCATGGAGTCACCCAGCCAGGTTCCCGAGGTTCCCGGCTTCGAAAACACGCGACGTCCGCGGCAGCCGCTAACGAGAACGCGACCGGCTGAGCTCACGACTTGGTGCCATTGGGGGCCCAAAAGAGTGACCAGTACGTGATGATGCTTGCTAGGATGTGAGCGGATGAGCGGATGGGGAGACCCCAGCGCGGATTGATCAGTGTTTTTATTTTTTATTGTTATTTGTTATTTCAATCCTTTTTATGACATTATCTTGCCTCTTGACTGCAACAACCATGACTTGGATTTGGAATGGCCGCTGGGTGAACCTTGACCGTGGTCTAGGGTCTTTGATACATGATGCCAGCGACCGATGGTGAGAAGTCTCTGTGAGGCGACGTAAACAGACGGGTACATAGGACGGCCCTGCATCCTGATCCCATATATTAGACATGAATCAATAGATATCGGTTGACTCCTGCTTTGTCCCAAGTGCTTGGACGTCAAAACAGGGGATCACCCCATCAAATCTGATTTGGGACCTGTTTTTTCCATTTTTTTCCATCTTTGGTCACCCCTCAAAACGACTCCCCCAAGGTCGCTTCTTGCTGCGCTGAGCCGCTGTGCACTCGCATCTCTCCAGGTATCCCGAAGGCGTTAAGCCCGGCGATCGCATTTCTGGGTCTGTCAGGGACTCGGAGAGGCGTTACTGCCGGCCGGAGCGAAAGACACTTCGGGATGGGCATCCTGGCAGAGTCTGCTACTGGCTGTTAGGGGACAGAGATGGACGATAACATATAATATCAGAAGGGCTATAATATACATCTAGGGATCCAAGTACCTTCTCAGAAGGCACCTGGACCCTCCAAACCCACCCAAACACCTTCTGAGAATGCACTTGGATCCCTACAGATTTAATATATATATCTTTATTATGATAAATATAATGAATTCCCGGCATTCGAACAATATGTCCAAACTAAGTTTCCACCCATAATTATATATAGGCCTATAGGGATTGTGGATCGACTGTTTCAGAGACCCGCTGGAAATCATGGCCCAGTCTCGCTTCCGACATGGCTGAGGAGGGCGAATACTTCAGGCCTGCGCCATTGTGCGTGATGCTGCAAAAACCGCACTGCGCACGAAACCACAGCAGCTCTGGGGTCACCAAGTGTGCTATACTTGCTTTTTGAATGGCATCTGAATATAAAGCCGGTACCTTGCAGGGGGGTTGGAGAACTGGTGACTTCTTGGCAGGTACAAGCATGTCTTTGTGAAGCCGCCAGATGATGAGGAGAGGTCGACGATTTCGCTGAGACCAATGGCTGCAACTGAAAACAGAGCAGATTCTGGAATTCTGGAGCACTAAAATCGATATAGAGCCGTTTCCACAGATTTGGAGCTCATCCTTTCACTACAGAGTTCATCAGAGGTCAATTCTACCACATGCGAGCATTTGCCATGGAGAATTCACGAGAACTCATCCAAATGCTTAGCAATTCAGTTTGGCTCATGTTATTACCTTCCTTCAACCCCCCGGTTTGGAGAAACCAATGCATCAAGGGGTCGTGACTCGGACCGTGGGCGGTCGAAGGATCGGATGGAGGCCTTGAGCATGGCGAAAGACATCAAGTGCGCCGCATGCGAGGTGAGCGGCCATGGGCGGGTGGACACCCCGGCCAGAGTGGCCAGGCCATGGGCTTGTTGTGGGAGGTTCAGATCAGAGCTATGTTATTAGATTCTTGCTTGGGTAGGGTACATAGTATTGCAACAAACCAACCATGAAGTAATTATGTACTATATATTTACATCTATTGACACATTTGTTACCATAACAATCAGATCTTGCCCAACTTGTCCCATGCTACACTCAGGATACCCCGACACTTCATACTCCATCGGTACATCCATTTGGAAGAATCCTCCGTTCCCCCCCCAGCCAGGTCCTTCTGGAGAGTCTGCTGAACAAGGCGGACTCCTTCAGCGAGGAGCGCTTTCCTCCGTCGACTCCCGGGCGCGACCCGCGAGCCGCCACCCGCCCCGCTCGCGCGATGGGAGGACCACATCCAGGACCAGTTGGACGGCGAACTCCTAGAGCCGCCGGTGGGGTCCCTGTCGGTGGTCCGGAGCCACACCGTGTGTCGGCTCCCTGAATCAGCCGAGAGAGAAGTGCCCTGCGGGGCGCGGGTTGTGGACTGATTCAAATCACCTGGTCCTGGAAGCGAACTGGCAGATGTTGGTCTGTCAAGTCTGAGTCCAAGTCGGAGTCCAAAGTCACGGAAGTCACTGTGGTTTCCTGCTATCCTGAGTTCTCAGATACTGGCTTCGTTTCATGGGAGACTGGCGACTCCGGCTCCCGCAGGTCCTCACCGAGAACGAGCAGGACATCGGAGAGAAGATGGAGAGCTGTTCAAGAAATTGGTTGGTCTTACAATCCCTAGGGATCCAAATACCTTCTCATCCAAGTACCTTCTGAGAAGGTGATTGGATCTTTAGGGATTGGGATCTCCCTGTCACCGAAAGAGGATTTTCCTATGTGTTCCTGTATTCCCCCTACGAAACATTGGACTATTGAGGTCCTTGATCTGTATGTTGGTAGGCGGTTGAAGTTGACAACTCTCTCCTGAGTAAAATTGGGTCTTGTATGTGTGCGAGGTATGCGTACAACAATTGGATAAAAATAGATAAAATAGGGATTTGTGCAATTCGTGTGAGGATCAGGTCAGTAAAAAACAACATCTGGAATCTGAACCTTTGTTTTGGTCTAGCAAAAAGCTCCCTCTGCTCAGGCTCAGTGTTGGTGTTTAAATCAGCTCAAAGGCGGACCAAAAAGGGGAAAGGACAGAAACCAGCCCAATGCCAATGGCGCTCAGTCGCAGCCAATTGGGAAGACCCCCACAGCTTCCATTGCTTCCTGTTGCGGCAAGCCCTGAGAAAGCAAGACATCAAGCCTTTCTCGAGAGAACGGGTCAGATTCTAACCGAAGGAAGTGCTTGGTCAAGAATTTTGGACTTGCCAATAGATTGATTGGTTGTAACAGGGAGAAAACTGGTAGTCATTTACATCAATTGTCCTTCCAAATGACTTTATTTTCTTTGTGGTCAGCAGGAAAAAAAACATGTCCCCTCCAGAGTCAACGGAAGGTTTGGCCAAGGGCAAAATTGTGGCTTAACTATGCTTAACTACTTTTGTGGGAGGATATTGACTGAACATCCATGGGCAACACCACAACCTTAAATGGCATTCAGAGGCGACGTAAGAAACACGCCAATACATGTTGATTCAGATTCAGTAATCTGTGTTGCAATGCCCTAAATGGATCTAAATGGTACAAGAATCCGAGGCACTGCCTCCGAACAGACCTCGCAATCCGGGCCCTTTGATGGAAACGATGTGAATACGACATCTACAGACACAGGTTCTTGATGGTTCTTGGACTATAATGCCACATGATTTTAACAGAAACAGCAAAGGATTCTTCTTGAACTTAGACAGCTTAGACAGCTGGCGCAGCTCTCACAAGCATGGATGGCAAAGAATTGATTCGGCGCGCAGCCGGTCGTGGATGTGGTGGAGACTTGGTGAAATCTCCCATGGTCAGGAACCCAGCGCGTTGGCATGAGGTCGGTCCAAGAGAGACACATGAGCTTGGTCCAGCTTCTGTTTGGGCTTCTCTACAGAGGCGACTGTAGAAGTGCGGTGACAGTCTCTTGTTTGGGGTTCTCTATGTGGAGATCATGGCCCAAGATGAAAGCATCGAAGACGATGATCCCAACTTAGGCCACATGAGATGCAATGGTGCGGCCCAGGTGGGGTCAAGCTTGCTCCATGCTGCCCTGGGTGCCCTTGTTTTGGAGAAGTTTTGAATTCGTGCAGGATTGAGTTCATCAGCCGTGGCTGCATGGATCATGAAATTCATGCATTGACCATGGCCTTGACCGCTGAGTCGATGTCAATTGGACTCCTTGGACTCCTTTAGGTCTGTTTGGAAGTAGCTTAGTATAGCTTAGTAGACCGGGAGGCCGGGAAGGTTGCTGAAGTGCCAGGTCGATCTGCCAGGCCCTGTAAAAACCTTCCATTTGTTGAATCTTTTTCACAAAGGAACCTTCTGAAACCCATGCTTTTCTTGCGTGGAGCATGCTTTTCCAATGTTCCGAACCTTGCCGAACCTTCATGCTGTCTTTTTTTCGAAGCGTGGCTGAAGCGTGGAGGTACCCCTCATATCGTGTCGAAGGTTCGAGCTAACATGGCAAAACACCGGGAAAACAGCGTTCCCCACAGGATCCAAGCTACTCTGGGGGCGTCAGATCCTGGATGGGAGTGCTTTTCAGAAAGGGGGCGGGGCGGAAAATGGAGCCGGCCCTGCCGGGCGACCCCTTCGCTCGACATGACATCTTCTGATGGACGATGCGTGTTCCTGCCGTGGATCGGTGAGCCAGCTTTTATGCTTTTATCTGGTCGAGTGCGGAGACCGCCTCAGCAAAGAGGCCATTCGTTCGGATCGTCCGAAGCCTGAGGCGAGACATACGCTTTGATCACCGATCTCGGAAGGCCACATGAACATCGATCGACCCGTTCTCAAGGCTTTCGCGAGCGCTATCTTTATCTCGGGAACCCTTTGAAGCGAGTCTCTCTGATCACCAGACACCAGGTGGCCCAAAAGTTGTGACCCGCCCAACAAAAACAACGACTTCGTTTTTGTTGATGCCCTTAAAGTTGTTGATCACCAGGTGGCCCCCGCGAGCAGCTTCTCTGGGATGCCTCCACAGGCGAGCGCGGTGGAGCTTGGTGCTCGAACGGACGGTAAGTAATGTAGACTCTTGATTCACAAGACCCTCCATATGAAGAGGAAGTTCCAATTCAAATGGTTGTTCTTTTTTTTTGTTGTCAAAAGTTTACGTTACGGACACTGAAGACCCTTTGAAGACCATGCTTTTTTTGCGACCGAGCGCAGCAGCAGAAACACGAAGGCGCGCTACATCGACCGAGCCGCCTGCGGTAGTGACATCCACAATCCGGAGGTGAACCTGAACCCTTAAAGCATTCATTCCGGAAGGTCGTCAAAGGTGTCTCTAAAAAAAACACACACACACACATTGTATTGCATACAACCATTTTTCCATGGTATACGGGATGTTCAAAGACATTCTTCTCTCTTTTGAGGCGTGTGTGTGAAGCGACTTGGGTAAAAAATAAAAAAAAAGAAGCGACCCGTGGAGCCAATGGCAGGCTTGGCTTTGCCAACGAGGACGCTTTTCGTGCTGCCCTGAGGGCGGACGGTCATCGTTGCTTGTCGGTTCCGAGCGACACGGTCAAAGAAGGAGGCGGAGGCTGCAGCCTTTTGGGGGCGCCATGTAGGGACCCTGATCATTTTGCCCTGCCATACATACATGTTGTCAACGTCAACGTCGAATTTGCTGGACGAGCACCGTGCCTTCTTCATTGCATAGCATTCAGTCACACATCAACGGCCTACTGGGTTTGTTAGTGGCAATGATGACAACGCTGCTTTTCCAACTGGTTGTGTTGTTGAGGTTGTTGCTGCTGTTGCTGTCGTTGACATCCTGACAACTGAGAGTTCATGTTCATTCATATGTTCTTCTCTTTCTGTTTCTGTCCTTCTCTAACAATCCATCACATCATACCCTATCCCTATAGGCCGGATCCCTTCGTCGACAGGTGACTCTGCTACTCCACCCTCGTGAGCTGCCTCTCTTCAGCTCTTGGAAGTGCCACGCGGAGCGTCTGAATGTGACCTTTCTCGCTGCCAGCCAGAATCCTCAGCGGACGGGGCAGGGTGGGGGCAAGTCCGAGACCCCGCCTGCGTCCGTGCGCTTTGGAGGCAAAGCATGGAGACTTCACGGCGTTATTGCACCTTTTTGGGGGCCAGTCCAGAGAAAGGGGTGCGTTCGTTCTTTTTGGCCTGCAAACTGGAAAAGGCCTTACCATCCTTTTACAGATGGTGTATTGTGCAATCTAATCGCCGATTTCAACTTCAGTCAGGACGGAGGCGTCAGGACGGCGTGAACGTCCATAGGCGGCGTCCATAGGCAGAACGAGAATCGGTGAAGGGACCGGAACCGGAGGAAGCCGCTTTCCATTCCATTCAATTCCTGAAAGGTTTGATCCCTTTTCAGGTCCACATGGCGGCCGCCATGCACCGCTTGGACTCGTGTCATCCATGCCCAAACCATGTCCATCATGTCCATCGCAGCTCGGTTCACGTCCGAAAGAGCTGAAGGGTCCGAAAAGGTGATGGAGCTTACATTGTTGATCCTTCATGCCGATTCATGCCCATGTCACATCATGTCACCATGTCCCTTGTTCTGAGATCTCTTTTTTTGCCGATGTGATCTGTCAAAAAACGACATCAACAGATTAATCATTATTGTATTTACACCCTGCGGGTTGTTCCGCCGGCCTTTTCAGCTTTTCAGCCAATGGTCCCAAGATGCGGATTTCCTTTTACGTCAAGAGGAAAGACTGCAACAGAGCAGAAAAAGTAACAGCATTATCCAGAACACAGCTGGAGCAACAGAGAAGCCTACATGAAATGACGTGCATTATGATACAATAAGAGAACAGGGAGATGAAATTGGGGGATGCAAAATAGAGCCTGCCAAGCAAGAAGACAAATTATATGACATGTGACACAATGAGAGAAGTAGACCGTGCGAAGCAGCAAACGTACATAGCATTCCGTCAGACATGATACAAGAGAGTAATGAGGACATGTGTGGCCTGGGGATTTCCAAGCAGTCTGAGTCTGCAAAAAACGATAGATACGTGAGTGCAGGTGCGAAACCTGAGAAAGAAGCATGCAAAGCAGAAGCGCAATGCATGGACAACGACGAGAAGAACGACGATAGACGAGGCAAAAACTTGCTCCAGAGACACTTTTCTTATTACATATAGATTCAACATAACTTAAGCTACATACAAGCCACATTGATAAAACACGCCGGCGCCCAAGGGCCGGCGGATTAATGATATCAGTGATGATATCCTACGGTGATATCCCTGATATCCATGGTTATATCCCTCACTGTCATATGAATCCATGATATCCTAGTCGTTAGAACCCTATGACTATATCCGTGATAAATCATGCGAGACGCCTGCTGTTGCTTCTTCAGCGAAGCTGGAAGACACTGCCACAGCACGGTGGCCGCCCAGGCAGCCATCGTGGTGCTCATCGGGCCATGTGCCAGGCACACCTGGTGGAGGCGGTAGTGATCATGAGGTGAGTACGGCGACGTGTTCGTGGTAGATCATGAACGAGGTGAATCACGAACGAGGTGCTTTCCATTGTGGCTGCGGATGCAGAGCAAGGTTTCGTAGGCCAGATTCGAGGCCATTGATTTTACAATCAGAAAACAAGCCCTTCGGGATCGGTGGACACAGGTTTTGGTATATTGACAGCCAAGCTGAAAGAGACACATGAGCCATCTGGGCCAGTCTCTGATATTTCCCTGAGAGGCGACGCGAGCTTTTTTGGGCTTTACCAAACGTCTCCAGCTTTGGTGAGGGTAAGTAATCTGACTCAATCTGATCAACTCTACCCCAGCCTCGAATGGGTCGGACTGTGAAAGACCTTCGCCAGGCTGCAGGACCAAGGTGCAACGTGTTTATTTGTAGGTCCATGTAGGTCAATGTAGGTCCCAAAGTCCCTGAACATGTTTGATATGTACAAAGAACATCAAAAAACAGAAACACAATGATGTATATGGTTAGTTGATGTTAGTTGTAAATACATATATATATATATAATGACATCCACAGCAGGGACAACCCCAGATTAAAGAAACAACAAGCAATTGAAGATGGTCCTTGGCGTCTCTTCAGCCGACCACTCCGCAGGAGTCCTCTTTCGAGGCGGGTTTCGTTCCAGGCCAGGTCTGGTTTTTTCTGCGCGAACGAACGATCACGAGCAGGGTTCCACCAGGAAGGTCCAGCAGGAAACCACCATCACCTCCTTTGAAACAAGAAACGCGCTCCCATGCACCAATGATCAGGAACAGTCATGGTCATGTCAAGTCATGGGCACAAAAATGGTCATGTGAGAGCATACCCAAAAGTTGTCCTCCAGGATTCTTTTGGTTCGGGTATGCAATTTCCAGTACGTTCTTCGGTGAAGCTACCGCATCGTTCGACCCCGAAGAAAGAAACGATCGGGGCGACTCTTCAACCGGGGCCACAAGGTCGCCCTATTGGGACCGGGTCGCCCTATGTCTCGAGGGAGCCTCTCAAGAAAGGCCTGGCCGCAGTGTCAGACACTGCGGAGTTCTGGGGGCACCTGGTGTGGCTGAAGACAGACGTGACATTTCGATCTCACCAGTTCAGGTCCTTTGGGGAGTTCTCCCAACCGCCTTTGGCTGCTAAGCCGCTTGCTGGAGGAGATCAGGTTCAGCTGAAATCCTCTCTGAAAAAAAAAAAATATCTATAAAGATATCTACAGATGCCATGTTCCCTTCAAAACGACGAAGCTTTGAGCGAAACCGTTGTGGGTTCATGTATGGAAGCTTCCCGTGCAGGTGAAGGGGTTCCTGGCTGCAAGTTTTGTGGCTCAGTGTCGAAGGAGAGTGTCATGTTGGGTTTCATGATACTTCCAGCCCACCCACGAAAAATGTCACACGACTTGCAATCATTTTCTAACTGGTTTCCCTCGAGCTGGGTGGGGATGTTGACACATTTTGACACTCTTGCCAAATCCCAGGAGCTTTCTCCTTGGAACTTCTTCTACTTGTCCCTCGATGCGGTGTTCTTGCACCCCTTCTCAGGCACTTCGGTGCGTCCGAGTGCACGTCTCTGATGTCCAATGTCCGAGAGAATTCATATGAAGTCGCGGAGTTATAGTGGTTTCAGAGTAGATGGCACAATCCCCAAGTTAGGTGGTTTATATGGAACCCAATATAAAGGACATCTTTGGGTTTGTGCCATCTACTCTGAAATCAGATATATAGATTTCCTTAGATATTCCTTGATAGATTCATGATATATTCCTATATACCAGCAGTCACAGAGCTCGGGGTGCGATCCATGGAGGTAGTCGGGGTGTCCAGAACCTCCACTCACTGGATGGGACGAGCCACACCACCCCTTGCCTTTGTGACTCCTGGATATATACCCAGACACTCCATGGGACTGCCATATATGCCTACATTGGGGTGGTTTGAGGGGTCAATGTAGGCATATATGTCAGTCCCATGGAGCGTTTGGGATATGATATGTCCTTAGAAGTTCAGCTTGACGATTTGCGAAATTCGATGAACTCGTGAAGCCGAACGACGAGCCGCCACCCTTCGTCTTGGACGACCGTATGGCGTTCCCTGGGTTTTACGGTACGTCCGGTCCTTATAACGACTTATGGCGTCTTATGGCGTAGCGGGTGACTTGGACGTAGTCTGATCCAACCTTTGATCGAAAAATAGCTGGGGCAGCGGTCGTTGGCTCGTGGAGTCGAGCAGACGTCGTCTCCTGTGGACTTTGGTGGGAGCTCCGAGACGGACAGGTGCTTGAAGAAGTTGAAGTCTATATTTTTTCAATTTCAATCAACAAAAATAAACACATGTATAATATATATGTATCATGAGGAGCACTGGATTGCGACACCAAGAACCAAGACCCCTGACACTAACTGCTAAAGTTTGGGTGGTTGTTGGGGTATCAACTGGTGCAAGATGTCTTCCACAGTAGCGCTTGCACCAGTTTGCAGCCTGACAACGCCCGACACCCTGGAAAACGCGGGTCCACGCCAGGATGGCATTTCCAGGAAGATCTGGTGGCCATCGCAGGAACTTCAGCTTCAGAAGCTTTTGATCGTTTTTGGGCCGAAGAGGTTTCGGTTTCGCTCACGGGATTCCAAAGGTGCCCCTTTTTCCAAGTTGGAGAGGCTTCCTTTGGATGGAACTGGATTGTAGATGGTCCTCCAAGGGCATATGACTCTCAGTGGCAATTCTAATATCTCCGCGTGTTCTGAATCGTCTAGCATTTTTACTGTTCTTTACAAGGAGACCGGCCAAAGCTCAAAGCACACGCTTTCGTCGATACATCCAACTTGAACATGGATCCCAGAGAGCAGTCGTGTTTTCTGCTTCGCTGTCGTCTGCCATTGAAGCAGCATCTTTCCAGCAGACCACACTCGCTGACTCGCCAGTCAACCCAGCAGTCACTATGTGCGCGACGCGACCAGCAAAGGCACTTCTGCTGAAATGCCAGATGAACGTGAACACTTTTCCACTTTCTTTGCATCTGCGATCTGGTTGTACGAGTCTCAGTGACTGGGGTAAACAAGGGTGACAGTTTAAGTGAGACTTCGCCTGGGTCTGGATATGTCTCCCTCTGTATATTCATAGCAACTATTCAGAGTTCCTTGCAATGCGGTGGTAACTCTTCATCACTCTTGGTATTGCTTGGTACCCATCCGTGGACACACTACAAGATGCTTGATTTTTCAGCAGGCTTTGGACGGACTAGGGCGCTTGCGGGTCCAACTATATGTGGTAGTGACCTTGGTCAACTGGTTGCTTACAGGTTCAAGCAGCTCGTACTGCCATTATCACCGGTAGTATCACCAGTACTTATAGTTGGTTGATGTACTGTATGTTCGATGTTGGTTGTACATATACTGCCTTGGTTCAAGCAGCCTGGGTCAACCACCACTGTCCGACGCTCAGGAGGTCCTTGCAGGCGGTGGCCGCTCTTCTTCACCAGGCCGGAAGCTCGGCGCGTGCCCGAGAAGATCCGCTGGCCCTACAAGAGTTAGATTCAGAAAGTTGAGTCATTAGATATCATGTTGATGTTAGTCTTCCACTGAGTGGGGATGGATGTCTGTCATAGTTGAGTCATGTTGAGTCATTAGTCTTCCACTGAGTGTGGATGTCATCTCATCCCAGCTCTCACATCTTGTGCTTGCGAGCTTGCTTTCTTTCAACACAAAGCGAGATGACATCTTCCAGAGTAGCGGACCAATCAGCTGCAGATGAAAAGACGTCCAGCCAGCCGATGCTCAAAGGTTCACGAAACGCATCCTTTTGAACCTCGGAGAGATGTCTGCGATCCCTGTCAAGAGCAGGCTGCCAAGCCAAAAAGAGCCAAACAGGCGCTTTTCGGCCCTTTTCCGCCACTTCGACAGATCCTTTTGTTGCTTTTGCTTCAAGGTCTCTGACGAGCCGCAGCTCTTGGGAAGCGGATCGTTTTTGGAGGAGCCACGTCTTGCGCTAGGCGGTGGCGGTGTTTTTGGGTGGTATGGAGGGTGGGCGGAGCGAGTAAAATGGAGAGTGACAATTCATGTCATGTCCGTTCTTCGTGGGGTGGCAGGATTTAGTTAAGTGCCCTAGTATTCCGAGGCCAATAAACATCATAAACTCTTACCCTAGTGCTCCAGTCGTACCTCCTCAGAAGGTATTTTGACCCTCCAGGCACCCACCCCAGTCCCACCTTCTTAGCAGGTACGACTCTTTCGCCCAAACGGCTTAATGAATCTTACCATTCGCAGCACGATGTTCAGAGGGGACCACTCCTTCGCCCGAAGGGGTCCTGCGTGGTCGTGCTCCTTCGACCTGGTGAGCCCACATGGCGAGGTGTGAAGTGCAGGACCACAGGCGTCCGTAGAACAACATACCCCGGGATAAGTCCCGGGATAAATACATCAAACACGCGTAGTAAAACATGTGTAGCACAAAAAACACTTGAACCATACAAAAGTTATATACAAGACTCTCAGATGAACTGACGAGTTCATAAGAAGGTGGAAAGAAAGGCCGCCCACAATCCCCCGCCTCCAGATTCCAGATATAATGGTTTGTTTTACCTGTCAGTTGACGCTTAGGAGTCCTTGGCGCTTCAGCGTACGTTGAGCTCTACACAGGCCCGGCAGTGCGCCCCAGACATTGAAGACATCCTGCACCACCTACGAGACCATATCAAACCACCGACGCGCTGCATCTACCGGTTTTTGGCTATCTCAAGTGGTATGCAGGATGTTTCAATCGTTAGGGGCATTGGGCTTTGTTTGGACAAGGGCAGCCGTTGCTGAACAAGAGATTGTGCAAGGATTTTTTAGTGTTGGAAATATCCAAGTGTTTTCTTTTCTTGTGTGGCCATAGAAGGGTACAGAATCTGAAGGCCCACTTATTAGTTCATTTCCTTGCACAGACACTATATTTTCCCACCCCACGAGATGCAAACCATTCTGTCGTAAGGGACCACTGCAGTGACGAGACGATTGAACTTCTGCACGGGATCAGTGGAATTAGATAAATCATTAGATTATCCCAAGCCTTGGGTAGCGTTCTTCCTGGTCATGTTTGCAAGCTCACCTGGAATTGGACTGAGGCGACTGAGGTCTCTCTCCATGAATATATAGGCCATCTCTAGTAGGGTGGAGGCCATCGCTATAGTTCTGCCTGAAAAGCCGGGGTTTGGGACATCTTTAGACCTCATTGGACCCGGTCTGTTGACCCTGCCGGTGCGATGTTGACCGGGGGGG